ACAGGTGTGCTTATTGCCACTGGGGTATCATTGCTTTTAATCTCCTTCAGTACAGAAAGCTAGGAAATATACATGTTATACTAATTATTGTATACACATATACATCTATCTTTCCATCTTCTATCTGTCTATCTGTCTGTCTGTCTTTTATCTATTAAAAACATGATTTGCCTTGGCACCCCTGATTAGGATACAGCACCAAGGTTCATTCCAGGTTTCCCCTTTCCCTTATTTGACATTTCTTCCTCTGACAGTGAGAAAACCTGCTCTCATGTTCCTTATATATTTACTTATTGGCTTAATCCTAGTGTCTGTTGCTTCAGAATTGCTAACTGTATTTTGCTTTACTAGATTGAGTCAAAATGTAGTTTCTCAAGCTACTTAGGCTAGCTCTTTTCCTTCTCACTTCTTTTCGTGTGGTTACGTTACTCATTTGTAATATAGTTAGGCTCATTGTTACTGTTTATATTCCATTTTGCTTTCCCTCGCATCCTGGTTTTAAAAACCATTTATTCTTTTTTAGTATGTAGAAACATAACTGTGGTTCTGAGTTAAAATTATATAAAAACTCTACTCAGGGAGGTGTGCCTTCCTCCCGATCCCTGCCCCACCATTTCCACTTCTTTCCACATCGCCTTCATTCTCTTCAGCTTCTGTTTTATTGTTCCTGTCATTGTTTTGCAGCACTAAACAAATAGCTGTGCATTTTCTCAGATCTCCTCCTGTCTTACATGAAGGAGAGCATAGTATTTTCTCTCTGTACAGTTAACAGTATATCCTGGAAATTACTCCAATTTAGTTCATAGCATTCTTTGGTATTATTTTGAATAGCTGCATCGTACCTCATGTGTAGGTATAACATAATTTAGTCAACGACCCTTCTCTGTATGAACATTTTTTATGTTTCTGATATTTTGCAATTACAAGTAATGCTGCAGTGAAAAAACTGCACCTTTTTTTTTTTTTTTTTTTGTTGTTGAGACAGAGTCTCGCTCTGTCGCTTAGGCTGGAGTGCAGTGGTGTGGTCTCAGCTCACTGCAAGCTCCGCCTCCCGGGTTCCCCCATTCTCCTGCCTCAGCCTCCCGAGTAGCTGGGACTACAGGCGCCGCCACCACGCCCTGCTAGTTTTTTTGTATTTTTTAGTAGAGACAGGGTTTCACCGGGTTAGCCAGGATGGTCTCGATCTCCTGACCTCGTGATCTGCCCGTCTCGGCCTCCCAAAGTGCTGGGATTACAGGCTTGAGCCACCGCGCCTGGCCAAACTGCACCTTTTAAAAATATACTTTTGGAGGTGTATTTTCAGGGTGGATTTCTTAAAGTACGATTGTTGGGCCAAAAAGTAAGAGAATATGAAGTTTTGCCAAGTATTGCCAAATTTCCTTCCAGAAAGATTGTACCAATCTGCATATCTCAGTGTTGTCTTAATATTCATCTAATTATGAGTAAATTTGAACTCATTTTTATGTCTGAGAGCCATTTTTGTATCTTTTCTTGTGAAATTTCTGCTTTCGTGTTACATTGCTAATTCAGACTGAATTTGAGAAATAACAACAGCTTTAGCCAAAACTGAATTTATTTTTCAGTGAGATATATTTAGATACATTAAGTAAGTGGTTTGGAGTGGGTGTCGTACTAGGGGCAGGGCAATGCTGAACTGGAATCAAGTTGAGCTTAGTATGTGGAAAATGTGAGATCCTGTGAAAATTCATTCCTGATTTCTAGTAACAGCCCTTTCTCCCATCACAGAAGGAGCCTCAGATCTCACAGGGCAGTGAGAGTTAGAAACCATTGAGCCGGGGATTATGTGACCATGAGGTCTACTGTTTAAGGTTTTGAGGAAGTGATGAGGACAGGGTGTGACCTCACAAAAGGAAGAGTTCAGTGTAACCCAGGGGGGACCACAGGAACCTTCCTGAAGGAGGAGGCTTGAAGGGAAGAGTCAGGGTTGGTTTGAAAAATGCAACCTGGTGAAAGTCTAATGGTATTCCTGGGACATTAGTAAAATGTGATTGGAAGTTCTACACCCCAAGGATTTTCAACTCTGTCCATATGACAGAGGTGTGAAAATTGCTAAGTGTTGTTTACTCACCCATCTTATTCAATTCCTCACAACAGTTTCCAGAAGTATTAATGATTATGATCCCCATTTTCCAGATGGGATAACTGAGGCTCAGTTGTTGCTGTTTTTTTTTTTTTTTCCCCGTAACGGAATAAAATTAAACAAGCCAAATGTGAACCCAGGTCTTTTATTCTCAGATCTGAATTCTCACTGCTATGCTGTGCTCATAGAGGCACCCATCACGAGGCAGTTCATCTCAAATGCCCAACAGCAGGTGAATGGATACACACGTATTCCTATATTCATGTAAGGAAATGTTAATCAGCAGGGAAAATTAATTCATGCTTCATGTTTCAACATGGATAAATCCTGATCTTTGTGGTAGGGACATGGGTGTCATGTTATTTTCTATATACTACATTATTATAAATTTCAAGTAATGGTAGTAAAGTGGTCTTGCTGGCACATTTTCTATACATTCCAAAACAAGGGGCTTTCTTTTGAAGTGGTTGGTGACAGATAGGTAAATTAACATGTGCCTGGGTTTAGCTTGGCATATAATGCATATTAAATATTCAGTTATTTGGACTGAATTATGCCCCCAGCGGACTTCACGAGCTGACCAGGGCTTTCCTAGAGGCCAGAGAGTGTGGATCTGCTGTTGGTGCTTGTTTCTTATTGAATTAGACTGAAAAGGTTGTATCTCAGTGGGTCAAATCAAAGAACCAGAAGCCAAGCTAAATACCCAGAGAGCATCAAACAAAAATCCAGCAAGAACAACAGTATTAAGCCTGAGAATAAGAGGGCCATCCATTTATTCATTCATTCTCTCACTCAGCAAATACTTCCTGAGTGCCTACAGTGTGCCAGGAATTCTACTAGGCACTGGGGATCTAACAGGAAACAGTAGAAATATGGTCCCGTCCCTCCCCTGGTGGAACATAGACTCTATCAAGGGAAATACGCCAAAAGAGAAGCAAATCTGTACAGACCAGAGTTGGAAACATTAATTAAACCATTGACAAATTATTGTCAAATTATACAAAACCATGACAATTTACTTGTCATGGTTTTGTTATTATATTGCAATTTAAACTATTGACAAATTATTGTCAAAGTTATATTATTTTAAACCATTGACAAATTATAAGTGAGTTATATTAAACCATTGGCAAGTTATTGTCAAATTATACAAAATCATGACAATTTATTTGTTTTTTTAATTATATTGCAATTTAAACCATTGACAAACTGTATTGCATATGAATTACATTAAACCGTTGTCAAATTATACCAAACCATGACAATTTATTTGTCGACGGTTTAATTACTGTTTCCGGCTGTTGGAAACATTAATTAAGCCATCAACAAATAAATACATATATTAAGTAACAGCACAAATTACTGTGGTTCATTTATTTATCAAATATTTATTTATACCTACTATGTGCTAGCTGCTGTCCTAAACACTGAGGTTGTAGTACAGATACCGGGACTGCTTCTTGCTGGCTAAATTTGAGATAGAAGCTTATCCCTGGGCAGATTCCTGTAACACAGAGAATGGAATATTCTAGTCCTATATCCATCCCTAGAGCAGCTGGGCTCCACCCAGGCCACATGGGCTGACTCCAGTCAGGGTGGCTTCCCAGAAAGAAAATAGGTGACATTTCCACAAACAGGAGAGAAGTGGATATTAGGTAATGATACTCTACTGACATTATCTCCAAACTTTTATTCGTTTCCTGAAGTTCATTCACCACAGCCTTTCCTTCTGCCTCAGTTCTTCCAACTACACATTCTGAGCCAGAATTCCTCGCTTTACATGTGCTTGCGTTGATTGACTGACAGATGGATGATTTCCAGGGACGGCATATCATGCAGCCTGGGCTCACGGGATAAATACAAGGCTCCCTCCACTGGGATGTTGAGTGGTTTCTTTTAATATAATGGTTAATCAGAAGTACACCTGTGCCCAGGTACATCTATAAGGCAGACAGAAACATCTGCAATGCACTAAGATGAGGCTGAAGGCAATGCACTGCTTTTAATGCTCCTGGCCTGCCAATCAAGTTGCATCTGATTGATGAGGATGCCTGCTGCAACCGCTGCTGGTCTCTTTACAAATTCAAGCTTATCAATTCATGAGTCTCCCGAAAGATTGACAAGCTCTGTGATCCGGGCAAAACATTATTTTCTGCCTAAATCTGCATTAGCTTTTGATGCTTGCCAGAACACATTACCACATAGTGCCTTGAAACAGCACAAATTTATTATCTCACATTTTAAAAAATAAGTCGAAAATCGACTACGAATTCCACCAGGCTCAATTCAAGGTGTCTGCAGGGCTGTGTTTCTTCCTGGCAGCTGCAGGGGAGAAGCCGTTTCCTCGCCTATTCAGGTTCTTCCTTGTGCTTGTAGGCTGAGGTTCCTGTTTCCTTGCTGGCTGTTAGTGAGGGCCACCCCCAGGCTCTACTAATAGAAGATGTCCTCACTCTTTGCCTCATAGTTCCCTTTCTCCTTATCAGCCAAAGACAGCGAGCAGAGTCCTTCTCATGCTTCAGGTCTCTTCTGCCTCTTCCTCTGGCCTCACCTCTCCCTGTCTGACTCTTTTGCCTTCCTCTTCCACTTTTAAGGGCTCCTGTGGTTATTATGAGTTCACCAAGAAAATCCAGAATAATCCATTTTAAGGCCCCCAATCTTAATTCCATCTGCAAATTTCCTTCTGTCATGCAATGTAACGTGTTCACAGTTCCAGTTTCAGGTCATGAACATCTTTGGGGACAATGCCTACCAGAAAATCAAATCCAAATCTTGAGATATTGTTTTGGTTAGAAATTTGATGTCATTGAAGTCACCCTCTGACTTGACCTCCTGATGGCTCCCCTTTGTATTGGGAGCCTGCTGCTAACAGCAAGATGTATTTCTGTCCCTTCTCCTATAGGTGATGGAACAATCTCCAGGGCCCGATAAGCCACCCTGACCTGGGGAGGTTGGAAACATAACTCCTCTCGGAGTTCCAGCCCCCACGTGGGTGTGAGCAAGTAGGCAGCGCACTGCGACTTGGGACCATCTGGGCTGGAATTGCAGCACCAGCGCTCTCCAGCTCTGCAACTGTGGGTGAGCCCCCTAACATCTCTCTTCCTCAGTTTCCTCAACTATAGCGTGGAGAGATTCAAAGGTTTTCTTTGTTTAAGGTTCAGTTCTAGCCCATGTTGCATATAACGGTGACCCAACTGACATGTCCTGCTGTAAAGTGTGTACATTGTAGAGGGAAAGTCAGGATAAGAACACAACTGCCCATCCATCCACAAGCTCACTTCAAACGGTAGAAAGCAATGTGGAGAAGATGAGCCCCAGTAATATGTGATAGAGTTATCAGCAGGGTTCAGTGGTGAAGAGGGATAGTCCAAAATGGTAATCTAGGAAGGACAGCCTTTGTTAGGAGATGAAGTCAAGATCTAAATAATGAGAAGGAGCCTGCCATGGACAGGTCAGGGGAGAGGATTGCAGGGAGAATAAGCCACAAAGTGCAAAGGACTTGAGGGAGGAGCATTTCACAAGAGATCTGTGAGAGAAGGGGCCTGAAGGAGGCTCAAATCAAAGAAAAGGGACAAATAAACTCTGGCTAGGGAGGAGGTGATATTTGACCAAGACCTTAAAAGATGGCAAAGTTTCACCCAATGTACACGGTGAGGATGAACATGCAAGTCTTGAAGACAAGCTGACCCAAAGCATCGTAGAGGGACAGTGGCAGCTGGAGCCCAGGGCTTTAGGAGGTGTGGGCAGGACCTAGTATGTCTTGGCAAAGAATTAGCTAAGTAAATCTATGGGTAAAGTGTTGCAACTGGTAACTTTTCAAGAATGGAGTAATAACTATTCCTGCTGTGAAAAATCACTGTGGTGGTGGATGGATGAATGAATACGGGAAGACCAGTAGGAGAACATGCCACCAGTACCCAGAGGGATGCCCAAGGCCTGAATCAGGTCCTTCTTTGCAGTGAGTGGGTGGGGTATGGACAGCGAGGACTATTTATGTCTCCTCTGGGAGGTGTACACACTGTAACCTAGTGGCCAACTGAATTTGGAATGTGGGGGAGAGTCAAGGGTGACCCTGAACCCAAGTTGTTACCTTGATAGATGAGCATATGATCAATGGACACAGAAGGAGGCAACAGGGAAGAGGAAACAGGAGAAGAGGAAACAAGAAATGGCTTGGGGATGAGCTTGGTGGAGCTTGCTGCCAGATGTGTAGAACTAGAAGAGCCTTGGCTTGTGTGTGGTTTGCTGGACCCAGGATGCAAAGACTGAGTTAATCACACAACTCAGTCGATGACAGATTATTACAATTAGTCAACCCCACACAACACCAATCCCTTGGTTGATTGGTTGATTCATTCATCTATTCGTCTTATTTCCATTCTCCATTCTTGTTTCCCCATAGGTAATGCGTGTGTGTGTGTGTGTGTGTGTAGGTGTAGGCATTATTTTCAGAATGTATATTGTTGATTTTTGTGCATGTGTTTATAATTTGCATAAATGTTATTGTTTTATAAAATTATATATAATTTTATATATGTATACATATATATACACACATATGGGTCCGTATTCCACATTGGGTTTTTTATACCTGCCCATCTTGCTGTCATGCTACTATTGCTTCTGAAGGCTGCTCTCTATGAGGGTCACCCACCAAATTGACTTACAGATTGTCTCCAACTTCCTGGTCCCCAAATAATTCTGTGATGTTTATCTTCTTATGAGTATTAGGTTATGGATACCAGTATGAATTTCTATGGTGTATATTCAGGAGCATTTCTTTGACAGCTATGGGTTGGAAGTGCTCTTCATATTCATGTTAGACTTTTGGATTTCCTCTTCTGTAAATCTCTGTCCAGCTTTCCCTGGGGGTTTCTTTCCTTTTCTCATTGATTAGCAAAAATTACTTATATATTCTAGATTTTAATCCTCTGTGGTTGTAAATATTTTATACTTGTGGCATACACTTTAAAATCTATTTTCTCAGACTTTGTTACCTACTTATCCTGCTTTTCATTTTTCACCTTTGTAGAATCTCTTTTTTCTCTCCCACTCTCCTTTCCATGAATGGTATAAAGCACCTATTTTAGTTGCTAACATTTCTGAGTGGTAGGAATAGAGCATGTCAAGTATAATACCTTCCCTTACGCATATGTAACTCATTTTTGAGCACTATGATATTGAACAAGAAAATGTAAGCCTGCTGAGCAGGTCATCTGATCTTGCGTGGGAGGCAGGGGTATATTGATAAATGATTAATAAGTAGCTCTCTGGGGGAAGCCCACAAGTTACAGCATCTGCCAACGTTTGTGGTGTAAATACTTCAGCATGGCTGATTTGAAGTTTCTGTCCCGTACTACGATTTGATGGAGTCATGGAAGGTCTACCTGTGGAGCTGACATTTGAGTGGAGGTCTAAAAGACCTAGAAGGAGGTAGTTCAAGTGGCAGTCATCACGTCATCCAAGCAAGAGATAGTAGGAAAAGAAGGGGCCAAACAGACGCATAGCAACTGAGTCCACATCCCTTTGAGGTACGTTCCCGTATCCCCTACCCAGCACCTGTTTCCATGTCTCCTTGCCCTGAACTGTGACATTTAGCTAATCTTATCCCAAGGGGATCTGGATGATGTAATTTTTAAGGCTTGGTGTATTTCCAGCCCCAACAAAATCAGGGTTCTGTTCCTTAGAAACAGAAGTGGAATTCTATTGAATACATAGAGAACAGTCTCTGGCACGTAAAATGTGGTAAAAAGAGTGAAGACAAAATCATCTTCTTTCAAGACATTTTTGCTAGGAAGTAGATGAAAAAACACACCCTGTACCTGGAGAGGAACCCAATAGCTAACTCGGATTGTATTTTCTTGTTTTGTAAATGCAGAAATTAACTTGACCCTGTGCAAAGGCAGAAATGAGATTGTGAGTTCCACAGTTTTGAGGTAAAGACAGGCTCATTTCCTGAGGGCCTAAAATAATTTGTCAGTTTTCCATGTGCATTTCCAGGAAACCATTGAATAGGTACCTCCTCTTTTCAGTCACTTGAGAGATTTGTACTTAAAAGCAAAGTAGTTGACTGGATCTATTACATTTTTGCAATTTTGCATTTAATTCATTTATAGGTAGCTGGTTTAATTTGCCTCTTCCACATTTTAAAGTTTTATTTTTGTCTAGCAATGAGTCGTGTAGTAGGCAAGTCTAAAGAAATTCAAGAGGACTGTGCTGAAAAGCCTTACAAATTGCATTTTGTGGTCTTTTTTATTCTACTTAGAGGGTTATCGTTTGGTGACAGTTTCATTGGATTTCTTCTATAAATGGAATATACATTTTAGTTCTATAATTCCATTAAAAACAAGCTACTCCTGTCATATTTTAGGTTGATTACAGCTTATTGTTACTTAGAAGACTTCAAAGATCACTTAATTAGAGAAAGGAAGAAGATAATATATACTATTATAATTTATAATCCAGAATTATGAAATTAGATATTTTAATTATGAAAGATTGCACGTTTTCTGAGCCACATAGTCTAAATCCAAAAAGCTCTTTGCAAATCACTATGCATGCTTTCTTCTTTGTTCTCTTTATATTTTATTCAGAGCATTATCTGAATTTGTGTCTGCCACTCTGATGATGTACCTTTTGCAGACAGTTGCTGACTGGCTGTTTCTGCATTCCCAGCACAGGACTAGCAGCTTGTTAGAGCTCATTAAATATTTGTCGATTTGAATTAAATTTGAAATGCTGTATTAAAAATCTTGCACCAATCTCCAGGGTCCTTAGCAGTGATTTTTGTTCTCACTATGGCAATGTAGTTGCATTCCACACTTATTAAATATACTGATGCTTTCCCTCCAAATAGAACTCCAAACTTTTATACAGTGCCTGTGCTCTGCTGAGTTTCACTTAAGGACATTTCGGCCTGCTCTTGGGGTTGAGACCTCAGGATCAATATGAGGAGTTACTTCCTTAGAAGAAAGAAATACTACTGAGTGATTTCACATTGCTTAGGATCTGAACTTTTTAACTTTTAACAAATTTTTCATTGACTAATAATTGTGTGATGTTATGATATATGTATACATTGTAGGGTAACTAAATCAGGATAATTAGCACATCCATCACCTCACGTACTTATTATTTCCATTACCAAAAAGATGAAAGATATCAAGTGTTTGTAAGGATGTGAAGGAAAGGTGACATTTGTGTACTCTTACTGGTAATGTAACTTAGTACAGCCTTTTTGGAAAACAGTATAGAGATTCCTCTAAAAATAAAAATTGAACTACCATGTGATCCAGCAATCTCACTTCTCATTATATATCCAAAGGATCTGATTTAATGATCATCTTGATATCTACAATTTTGATTGGGCTTCAAGAGGAAAAGGAATTTTTTTCTCTTTGTAAACTTGATGAAGACTGGGTTGTGAATATGTGGGCCATGGCAGAATGTGAGAAAAATCCAGACCCTGTGTTCACTAACTCAAGAACTTCTCCAACACATCGCTAACCTTTCTGACACCCTCTTACAACACTCAGCACTCCGCCCCTTTGCTCTGGTGTTCCAGTCACGTGGACTTTCTGTGGGTTTCTTGAACAAGTTTGTTCTCACTTCAAGACATTTCAGTTTTCTTCTTTTCATTGTCTGCAAGGTTGCTTCCTCATGTGTTTACATGACTGGCTTCTCATCAGTGAGTTCTAAGCCCAAACAACGCCTCTTTCTAAAGAGCCTTTCCTGTCCATACCAAAGAGACCTTACGACACTCCCTCTCTCTCCCCTGTCTCACAGCTTTTAGCATTTTTCATTCCCTAAAATAATCTACTCATTTATTTCGCATCCATGATCCCCTGTAGAATGCCAGCTTTATGCATTCAGGGGGCTGTGTCTGAATTTTCCAACTTTATTTACCCAGAGCTAAGAACAGTACTCAACATGTAATAGGTGCTTGGTAAGTATTTGTGAAACGGACACAGGTTCAGCTTTTGAATCCAATAATTAACTCTTGTGCTGTGGTACTTTGTAAGAAAGTGATAAAGTACGATTTGACAAATCAAACCAACTCCCAGGTTCTCTAAGTCAGA